GGGCCATCCAAGTATCCGAGCAAGTATGTTCGTATGAAAAATCGTGCGAACCCTTTTATGACTTTGTTCTAATCGATATTTTGTCGGTTTGATACGATTTATTTCTTGGAGTCTTAAGAAATCATGCCATAGGGTTTTGAGTGAGGTGCCATAGACACTAACCGACCATTGCAGTGGGAGCTACACAGTACATTCGACTAGGTTTTTTGGAAGATTTCAGCTATCCGTGGCGTTGGTTTCCTCTGTACCTAGTCTACAAATGTGTATGTTCAACTACTCTTCAGTTTTGACGATTCTGTTGAGAAATGAGCACTCACGGCGATGTAAATTGCGATGAAGTGGCAAACGTGTGGGTGTTTCACATCATTTAGTTGGGAGTATATAGTTTCAAATTCCTTTCATATTTTCACCTTCTGCCCATTTCAAGAAAACTTCAGAAATATATTGTTCAAACACTTCCTTTGTTATCCGAAGATTCGATGCCGATTCGTTTCTAGCACCAGGGTTAAGCGAATGTGATCCCTCACATGTTCATGGCACGCTCCAGTTCGAAATTATGCTCTATCGCTAATTTGGCCCTTTAGAGAAGCACAGGGTAGTTTGTGTGCTACAAAACACCACACTGTTAGCGCGCACTTGTAGGCCCTGTGTTTTCTACAACAAGGGGATTGCATGCTAAATATCCACGTTTCGTCATTTGCCCCAATCATAATCATAACACAATGTTTATGCATAGGTCATTGGATTTGTGGTCGTTAACCACAAGTGTTCCCATCTAAGAGTTTAGGTTCGAACAGATTTTCGTATCAAATGACCTACTGAATAGGCATCCTTAGAGTTACCTAAATCCCGGATTCATGTGTGCCCGATGTTCTAGTAACAACAGTGTTTATACTCTGTTGGTGGTATTGTTGTTTATGGTTTAAGAAGTGTGTTTATCGCTCATATCTCTCTATCAAGGGCTTTCGTGTTAATGAGTCTTTTAATGTGCTTCTCTTTAACTTTGAAAACTGCGATTGAACACCAGCACGAAGTTGACGGACGGAGTGCCAGGGCTTCTTAACGCAATTTTGTTGCGTGCAGTATATGAGAAAGGCTAGCGATTCGCTTTGAATTGCTCTTTCCGTATGTTGTGCATGGATTTCATATCGCTCGCCTTCTATCCGTCCTTTTTGTTCTTTTTAAGTGGTAAAAGTTCACGACTATATGGCTTGAATTCAAAGTCGAATTGAGTGTAAATGGTTTTCCATCACCTCTATCACCTGTAATCCCGTTGATCGTAGAGTGACTCGAGTGGGCGCCTGTAAATCCCATTTTTCCTTATCGCGTGCAAGAGTAGCCCAGTGAGTTCGTCACGCTTCAGGGACTCGTTGACCATCATACCTTTCTTCTAGGCTTTTCGTGAAGAACTCTGTCCATCGGGTCGGTGGTCTTCCCGCAGTACGTTTGACATCCCGAGGAATCCAGTCACTAGCGGCTCTTGTCCATCGGTTGTCATTCATACGCATTACGTGTCCGGCCCATCTTATCTTCGACTGCTTAGCATATAGAAGGGCATTTTTGATTTTTGATCGTTGACGCAGGTCGCTGCTTCGGATCATTTCCCTTACTTGTAACAAGTTTTTCCATAACATTGAATAGTGGCAATGCGAACCTCTAGATTCTACAGGTTTATGATTACAAGCTTCTATGCCATGGTAAATTTTTAGCTCCTTCAACTTCAGAGTGTTTTTGCCTTTTAATGTCGAATATTGATTGTATTTATAAAAGCTAATCAGCTGAACAAGCGGGATTTCATTTAAATGGAATCGGTCATTGTGCGCTAATGTGTTAAAAGTGCAGCTACTGCTCTAAAAGTATAGGAGAGAACTCGAAGTCTGTCAAAAAACTAAAAAAAACTGAGGTAAAATTGGTGTTTTCATCTGGGTACTGGATTTCAGCTGCACTAGTCATGGGGAAACCACTATTATCCTGAATTTCTTTAGTATGCAACGCCTTGCTTCCTCTTGCACGTTCTGAATTTCATCTCATCTGTTCGTCATATGTTATGGCATCGAATTTGTTCAGACTTTATCTAACTATGAAGTGTATTTGACTCACATTGACGTTTAGGAGCGTAAGCGTTACTCCCTGGCCAACACATCCTGCACTGAGCGAGGCATCTTCAATCTTATGTTCTACGGTGTTTCGTGCTGTTGTTGAGAATTTTTTCTATAGGTGAGTATGTACTTTGATAATTACTAGTTTTTAAAGGCGTCACTTCGTTGACGTTTTCTGTTTTAAGCAATTTAATTCCGTATCCCTCGGCACAGGTGAGTCTGCGAACTGCATAGTTTCCGCGACAGCACCTTGCCGTTTATCATTCTTTCACTTCTGTGGTTAGCGTTCATTAATTTTTTGTCAAAACGCTTCACTTTTTGTTACTGTTTTGGAACTATTAACTTTTCCTTATGAAATCCGCATGTCTGCTATTTGTTGTGCGGAAGATTTATTGGATCATATCGTTTGGCAGGTTGTATTTAGCACAGTGATTAGAGATACCCCACTGCAATGCACACTGGATCTGTCGCTGGTTTGCTCACGAGCGCAGAAGTCACCAAGTCTTCCATCACTCCGATGTCGGAAAATTGGTCCCAAACTAGCCTGGAGAAATACCGGCACTGAATTTGATATATTAGGAGGCTATCGTATGTAATCGTAAATGCCAGATATGCGTTTGGTAACCTCTAACAGTACTTAGTGAAGTTCGATGCATGACCCATCTCTCAGGAATTGATCATCACCGAACACCTTTATCGCTTTACATTCCTTTGTGTTTTAAGTGAGCCTGGATACCAAAACACATACTCATTGATCTTCCACTGTTTCGTACAGTTTCAACAAAAAGTAGGTAACTGTCCACGATGTGATAAGTGAAAACAATCCGTTGTGGCATGTCGATATGCATTTCTATCCTAGAATACAAAGTAGTACGAGATGTTTCAATGTTCTCTGCACTTTCATTGGTACCTTTATCAACAATGTTTTGATGATAACTGGTTGTGGTTCTTTATGCAATTCTGGTTATGAAAATCCGCTCTCATATGAGAGCAGTTTTGCCACAGATTACGTTGCCAACGAAAATATCCTAATTTATCTATATTTTTCCACAATTGTCTCCTCATCGTTCTAGTGGTCCATCAAAGATTGATCTTCTGCTATCTGTTGGCGATGCGTAGAGTGATTTTATCTCTGCCTCCGTCTTATTTATGCAACACCCAAATCTGTTGTACATGGTAATGAAGCGAGTAGTGTAGGCAAAGGTGGACTAGTAGCAGAGCATTTACCATGTTTCTTATTGTTTTCTACTCAATAAACTACTATTTTGCCGCTTTCTTAACATTTCTGTACAGTAGCTTCCATATTACTTCTACAAAGGCGTTGCATTAAATTTGCGAAAATTTCGAATTTCTCTTGGAGTTTTCCTTTTTATGTGGGTGGTGATACTTATCTAAAGCACGAAAAGCAGGCATATAGTGGTTGCGAACGTAAGTAGTTCTGTTATTGGCAGTAGCTCAGTCACCTCAGTACACACTCATGCCCATTCTATGAGTCGAATCATCATATTTTTCAGTATGATAAAGAAAAAAGTTCACTTTGATTAACTCTGACTGAGGCATTGCCAGAGCACAGTTTACTGTATCCATTTTTCGTTTTGTTCATTGCGGGTCCTATGGGTAAAAACTCTTATAAAAAGGATTATAAGATGGATAAAGGATAGCGTTGATCAATCTTTGAAGGATTCGCCGTAGATTCGACTTCGTTGAGCATCGTTTGGAGGTGAGTGGATGTATATTTGGCCTTTATGCACGCATTGGCCTACCGTTGTATCGAGCCAGTGATGCTATCCTCCCAGACAAATTTGATGACCCCGGAGGGATGGAAGACTTGGTGGGCCTTGGGCGCGGTGATCGATTCAACGTGTGTGTTGCAGGATGCCTTCGACCACTGCGCCACTCATGCGCTGAGAACTCTTGTACCTGCGTGATATCTACGTTACTGCTAAGGGGTTTTCTGCAACATTTCACAGTTATTATTGCTGCATGAACGGATGAACGAAAGCTGCCCCACTTTCAATTCACTCTTCGAAATGTTTAGCTGAGAAATCACCACCTCACCCTTTCATTTTCTAGGATAATAATGCATTGCAGACTTTAGCAGATACAACGTGCTGATCAGTAGAAGCTCACATAATTTTCAATAAAATGATTCATGGGTGTTATATGTTGACTCCTTGGATACTTGGGTGGCCCATCTTCACTGGTTGTGCAGATCCCTGCATAGTGCCCACTTTTTCGGAGCTTTTCTGGTTTAGCCATTGTGGTTCCCTGGAGTCCTGAGGTCAACATGGCTAAATTCTGCCTCTTGCGTCACCCCATAGGCAGTTGCCGCTCTTGTGGATCAGAGGGAGACTTGTCACCATGCGACTTTGATACCAAGACGGTGGTGAATCCTGGTTTTGGTTTACTCTTAGCTGGATTTCCTGACAGAAAGCCGGGTTATTTCTCAGCTTGGAAGGCTTTACTGTTAGGATGAATCTGCCTGCTGTGCGTCGCAGCCCGACACCTAGGAAGACCTGCCAGTCACGATGAGGCGGTAAATCGTTGGGATGTTGTTGCTGTTGACTCCTTTATGTTAAAAATGTTCGGTAAATTTCATGTTTACTAATTCAACCAATTGGGAGGAAAGTGGATTTTTTTTCCTTTTCAACACATCTTTCATTTGCTCAATGAAAGTAAAGTGAGAGTTTTTGCAGAATGATGAATCGGGATTCAGTCATCAAAGCTCTTAATGCTACCAATGTCCCAGATGAGCAGAAAAGTGCTGAAAGTTTTCTAGATGAGGTGTGTTATCTTTACGTCTAGTTTGTTTAGGTGTGTAATATTTGCAAGAGAACTTATGTGGCGTCAGTCGGCACTGTACAATTGGGGTATATGTTGCAGCGATCGGGCCCACAAGAAATGGGAACCGGTATTTCCCGTCGCCGTACCACAACCTCATCGAGTGGTGGTGCCGACTGGCGTAATTTGAGCGTGCTCACGAACGATGATGGTACCACTTGCAAGGCCAAAATTAGCGACAAGGAAACGACAAAACAAGAACATGTTGCCAGTCTTATTGGACTTTGGCGTAGCACTGCTCGCAAAGCTGTTAAAATTATGCAAGATCCTTGGTTTCATTTTTTCATTTGCGAGATTCCAATAATGAGAGCTCGTCGTTATCGCTATTCATCAATTAGACAGTCTTGGACTGAAGACATTGTTGAGGTACGCCTTCTTCAAGAACCCTTTGCACGCGGTGCTCTTAGAGAATGCTACAGGCTGAAGAAACTTCCATCCAGTAGTTGTGTTCGCGATTGGAAGTATGCTCATAACTACGTTGCAAAGAGGTATATGCAGGAAGTGGGTCGCTCTGTGTTTTTTGAGGATGTTAGACTGCAAATGGATGCAAAACTATGGGCTGAGGAATATAACCGTTATAACCCACCCAAAAAGATCGATATTGTTCAGGTGTGCGTCCTCGAAATCATTGACTTGCCATCCCAACCACTATTTCATCTTGAACATTTCATTGAAGGTGACTACATCAAGTACAACTCTAATTCTGGTTTTGTTTCTGAAGTCGCTCGTAAAACGCCACAGGCGTTTTCCCACTTTACATTCGAGCGATCAGGCCATCAGATGATGGTGGTAGACATTCAAGGAGTTGGAGATCTTTACACGGATCCTCAAATACACACAGTGATTGGAACGGACTATGGTGATGGGAATTTGGGTACGCGTGGGATGGCTTTGTTCTTTCACTCTCACTTGTGCAATGACATTTGCCATTCACTTTGCTTAACTGAATTTGATCTGTCCGATTCGGAACGTTCAGCGCTCAGTAGTTGTTCACCACCAAGTCTTCTGAACCAGTCAACAGTATTAACTCGACCAGGAAGTGCTTGTTCAGCAGTTGTTCCTGAGTTTACTCAAGAAAATGCAATGAAATCCCTCCGGCTACGCACAATTTCTATTCGAAGTCGTACATCATCTACAGGTGATTCTAAAGTGGAGTCATTTCCAGGTAGTGGTGAACTGCACAACGATGACTGTCTCTGTGACGACTGCTTCACTCATAACCCTACTAATATTGAAGTTGAACCTTTCGTTGATTACGCTGACGACATTAATAAAGAATGTGAAGATCTTGAGCATAGTCACCCTCGAAAGGTCGGTTTCCATACACTCAGCGTGGAGCGTCGTGAGCGTTCGAGTAGTGTCGCAAGCTCACTTGGTTCTGGTTCACTTGGTAGCTCTTCGAGATTTACCCGTGATACAGAGATGGACGAATATTGGTCAGTAACTCGAAAGAAATCTATACCCGCTGGCGTTGTGCCGGCTATGGAGTTGCTGGACCATAATGCCGAACCGACGAGAATTACCCAGTGTACTTCTATTCTAGGCCAAATTCACTTAGATCTAGCGCGTTACCATGAGCTGGGTAGGTTTTTATTAGAAGAGGATAACGAAGACAAACGAATTGCGCTTGGAACCGACTTGTGCGCTGATACGAGAACTACGTGTTCTACTGTCAGATATGATAAAGAGTCTGCTCTTTTCCATCTCGATATAGCGAGACGATGTGGAGTCGTAGAAGCAATAGTCACTGTTGCTCAGATGGCCTTTAAACTCTCCCACGACCTCTTGAAAGATGTTGGTGAAAACGAAGTTTGGCCAAGGGGCGAAGATAGCGCTAATGGAGAACATCGCGATCAGGAAAAGTTTGCTTTTGAACTTATGGAAACCGCTGCAGAAATGGGGAACCAAAGTGCAATGTTATTCGTGGCAGAGGCTTATGAAACTGGACGAAAAATGGGGCGCGATGCACAGCCCAGCTATCCAGAAGCCATAAAATGGTACGAAAAACTAGTTGGCTTTAATGATGGTGATGGAACGGGAATTGTGCTTCCGCGATACAAAGTGTTAGCAAAGATAGCCCAAATGTATCAAGAAGGTGGGTGTGGATTAACGCAAGACTTCGAGCGTGCTTTCAACCTCTATACAGAAGCTGCTGAGGTCGCAGTTGAAGCAATGCAAGGAAAGCTAGCTCACAAATACTATGAGCAAGCTGAAATGTGTGCTCGTTAAGATTTCAAAAATGTACTCTAGGTAAAACTATCTTTCCAATTTAAGCTTTCTGGTTTCATCACTCGGGTACTGCTGTGCCATATTTCGTAGTTCTAATTTTGTTCTACTATTGCAATCTACGTTTATGTGGTGCAATATGTTTGTGATCTAATAAAATATTCTACTTTCTTCCATTTCCAGTCTATTCATTGCTATGCTTAACTGAGGTTGCAAATATGTATTACCAACATATCCTCAGCTTCCTAGAAGTCGCCGCAGATATGGTTTTGATATTTTAAATTATCAAACTTTCGCTTTTGCGAGCTGCGTCCCTGGATCTCTAAAGGACATCTTTCGTTGCACTGCTATCTTGATATATTATGTTGACAAGGCAGTTACGGAATTTCGATGACTTCCAACCAGTTTTTTTCTTCCAGACTGCTACTTTGGGTATAGGTATGTGGTGTAATCCATTGAGCTTACTGGCGTTCAGTATTCGTTTTGTAGGTGTCTTTATTCGTATATGTAAGCTGTGATCAAGATCACCGTTACCGTTTGTAATATGATAGCACATCGACCTGGGCATCAAGCTGCGTTAGATTTAGAGTTCGTGAACTAAAACGTGGTTGCTAAAGCCCATCAGATCTCTTAAGGTCGTAAAAAGGGTCCTATGCCTGTGTCGAATTCGAACTCCACCTAACATGATTGAGAAGTTGGTCCACCTAGTCACGCTGACATCAGTAGAGAACTGTCATCGCGCCGCGAGGGCAAGTAACGCACGCTCTCATCGCCAACAATGAGGAGTTTATGTCCTCGTCTGACCCTTATCGCAAGCTTCACTGGTTAGGCCTTCCACGGTCTCCGCTAGCAATCACTATCACAGACAAGTTTTAGTGTAATCGAGTGGGCAGAATTACTTTTTTTTTTCGATTCCGTCACTCATCATGTGCAGTGGTTACACCTTGTGATTCGAGTGGTTCAACGCTCACCAGTTCAGTGTGAAATGAACTTTCGAAAACTAGCTTGACTTTGGTTGGGAAGCCTACTTTTATACTTTGTCCTAGAGTTACACGAGATCTTCGATCCAACTCCTCTACAAATAGCTACAACACCGTTTCGCTAAAGGTAAAATCACTTAAGAGCAGAAAGGGTGTAGCACACTCGACCGTCCTTAAATATGAAACTTACTACCTTCTACTGTTATCATGTAGAATCATTACGAAGTCAATGGGGCAGAGTAATTCGTGGGGAAGGTTGCTATTTCAATGAAAGAATTAATTTTGACTTCGAATCGGTATTTCTAATACAAAAGTATGATTTTATGCCCGAATCTCGTTGCTAGTCATGTTATTCAAAAATTTGATGTAACTATAATCTGTACAATTAAAATATTTGTTGCATCACCAGAATAACATTTAACTGTATGGATACTAATGTTCCAACCATATCTGCATTATGTAACCTTGCAATTATTCCCCCCTTTTTTTTTGCATGTGTGCTTCTATTAGAAATATTTCGTGGATTTGCGTTAAAATGTACAACGTACTGACTACTGTAAAAGGCGAGGACATCTAAAGAGAACTAACATGCGTTTAACTACATTTGCTAATCAGAAGTTGAATTACTTTGGTCACAATTAACCCTGGATCAGCGAAAGTTGTTTCTGTACACTTTGAAAGAAATTGTTTCCATGTAGTCCACTTTTTTTTAGGTTTTTGCAAATGAGCTTCATTTAGTCAATGCTAGTTTGCAGGATTGAACCTAGTGAGATTGATGCTAACTCAATCTTTGTAGTTTGACGGTTATGAAAAATTGGAGGCATTAACGTTACTCTTTCGCTTCACTGTCTTGAAAGGGCGGATACACTACTGCGAGCAATTTCGGCTTCCATTCGATTTTTATCGTGATCTGAACCATTTTTAGTGTTCGAAACAGCAGGGATTTACTCCGGAATTATTGAACATTGTTTGCGATGGCTCTATTTGTAAAGTCATACGGCAGTCTGCAGCCATATACTTCAAAAATAACGTAGTTCGATACTGGGAGGTATAATTTTATCAGAATAGTTATGGACTAATTGGATGTGTTCAGTTGCTTGGCTTTTAGGCAGCAGATTCTAGCTTTGATGCAGAGGAGGATATAGATCCAGGAAGGTGTCTATCTGATGAGGACAAAACTTTCATCAGAGAACACATCATTGATGCCGTTTGTGTTGCTGATGAATCGTACAGGTAATGAAATTTTGAGGCAGTAGTCCTTTATTTTTGCAATTCCTTAGATAATCTTTTGTATCACTAGTCGTTCCGTTGATCGTCAAGTGACTCGAGCGGGTGCCAGTAAATCTTCCACTTTTCTCTGTCCCGTGGAAGAGTAACTCAGTGGGTTATGATCGCTCTAGGGACGCACTGAGCATCATACCGTTCTTCTGGGATTTTCGCGGACTCTGAACGTCGGGTCGGCGGTTTTCTTGCACCTGAGGAGTCCAGTCAGTAACGGTTCTTCTCCATCGGTTTCCGATCATGTGGATTACGTTTTCGACTCTCCTTGTTATCTATAGTTTGGCGTACAGAACGCCGTCTTTGATTCTTGATCGCTAACATAGGTCGGAGTTTCGGATCCCCTCCCTCACATGTGTGATACGGGATGCTTCTAACATCTTCCTTCCGACTGCGCGTTCTCCAATCCTCAGTGATCTTCCATCCTGCTGATTATAGGCCACGTTTCTGATGCACATGTTAGAGCAGCGAGAATGGTGGAGTCGAATAGTTCAGGATAGGGTCGAATGTTCCTTGTTTTAGTCACTGCATCCCCGTAGCTGGAGCATTTGTGGTTATTCATTCTCTTGAGCGTAAATAGAGCATACGAAACCAATCGGTTCCTCATAAACATCGTTTTTGTGAGCTTTAGTTGAAGAACAATCTTTCCACTAACGTTATCGTAGTCAGCTTGCATTCATTCTACATGGGTAATGCTTGGCGTTATAAAAACGGCGTCATCATCAATTCGAAGACGATTTTCACTTCCATGTTGTGCCACTCCAAATTTTCCATAATGGTTTCAAGGAAGGCTGTAAATAATTTTGGAGAGATGGCATTGCTTGTCGAGCCTCCCTCTTTACATCGATGTTAGTATCGATGTTATAGGGCGGTGGTATTATGGCTAAGGTTTTTTTACCTTTCTGACGAAGAAACTCCATATACCGAGTAGAGACGCCCTAGCTGTCCATGGCTTCTATGACTGCTTCCATCTGAACTGAGTCAAAAGCTTTCCCTAAATCGATGAAAGTGAGGAAGAGCGGTCTCTTGTACATTTGCGACTCTTCAGTGAGCCTTGTCATCGTGTAGACGTGGTCCATTGTACTGAGTCCTTTTCGAAACCCTGCTTGCTCATATGGATGTCCTTCGTTCAGTGTTCTACCAATCCTGTTTAAGATGAATGGATTGAAGAGTTTGTGGACAGCAGACAGCAACCAGGTAGTGAAATAGTCGATATCAACACAGTTTTGCAGGTTTTCAATTGAATAGTAACCATGCACTCTGACAGGTAACATGTGAAGAGCCGAGTTAGCGTGTTTATGAGGACCGGTGGAAACTGTTCAGATTTTATCCCGGTCCGATTCTCGTGTTGTTAGATTGTGAGAGGTTGTCACCGACGAAGTAGCATGCCGGATTTCTTAAGGGAGAATCGGTGGTACGACGTTTCCATCCTCCTTTATTTCATATGAGAGCAATGAGACGTGGTTGTTAAAAAGGTCCGAGTAGTAATCGTGAATGGTTTTGACTATTGCCTTTCTGGGCGCTTTAACTGTTCCGTCTTGGCGTCAGAGTTCAATCATCTTGGTTTTGTAATTGGCGAAGTTTCTGTGGGCTTTAGGAATGCTTTTCCCAGCATCTGCAGCTTCGACCATAACTGCTGCTCGTCGGTTTTTCAGACCTTTTATCGCTTGTTTTGCAAGTTCGGACGTGAGTTGACGGATTCCTGCAGCTCGTGCGATTTCTCGCTGGCGTATCAGGTCGAGTGTTTCTGGAAACAGACGTCACTTGGTAACTTTCGAATTCTCAGCTTTTATTGCGCAAACGTGAATATGTTAAATGAGCCGTTCGTATTCCTTATCGATGTTATTGAGAATGGCATCTTTCCAACAGCAGACTGATTAACCAAATAAATCCAAGTTCATGGTGGTTTTGAGACATCCTTTTTCGAACAATTGGCTTCTTTCCACGAGAAATTAAATCTTACACGAAGGAGGCAATGGTTTGATCCCGTGTAGAATTTTCAGACAATAGCAAAATCAATTAGCAAAACTTTCGATTTGCTTTGATATGGTCTATTTTGTTATGGTACAATCCACTGGGAGACTCCCACGTCCAGCGTTTAGAATGGCACTTCTGAAATTGCTAGTTAGCAAGAATGATTGTGGTCGTCATAGTAAACTCAGACAGTCGCTCGTACTGCTTGTTCCATTCTAATACTTGAGTGCCAATGTGACGTTCTTCAGACGTTTTTCTCGGTCCAATCTTAGCGTTAAAATTTCAAATAATGAGCTAGAGGAATGTGTGGTCTTCGCCGTAGAACTTCTCCAGCTCCATATATAACGCTTCGACATGGTCTTCGTTATGACTTGATGTAGGCGCGTAGAACACGAGAATATTCGGTATTGATCCATGTTTCTTCAGCCATTAACTTCCGATTCGGGTTGTTAGTGGTTTTAATGAATTAGTGTTCACTGCTAAACTAGTGATGACAAGGATACCGATGCCGCCGAGTCCTCTATTGTAGCATGTTCAGGGACGCCGTTGAATGGGTGGCATCTTCTCGTCTCATTCCGATAGAAGTGTTCTTGGTTTGTTAAACTATCACTATAGAGCTATTTACCCATTTTGTTGTACATTTTTCTGGGAAACTACTAGTATCCACCTATGTTGTCGCAGTTTTTTTCTTTTTTCAGAACTCAACTTTGTATTGCGGTTCAAGAGGTAGTGCGTGTCGATTTCCCGAAAAATTGGCCGGACTTTGCTGACAAACTTCTAGCAAAAATTCGCCAATCTCCTGATGCTTCGACGTTGGCTGCGACTCTTCTTATAGTATATCGCTTCTCCAAAGTTTACGAGTAATTTGTTTCCTCCTTTTTCATTAACAGGTAGTGAACGTTGGTGATTTCTGCAAGTGTATTATTTGTGAACATGTAAATTTGATAGATTTGCAGAAGAAATCTTTGCCAGTTGCTCTATGAGCATGTACAACTTCCTTAATATGTTCCTTCATTTTTGAATTTGTTTCGAATGCATGTTTTCCAAAAATTGAGTGATATTTAAGTCATTAAAATTTTGAACCCAGTCATATCAAACGCAAACATGAGCTATACGTTGAGAGATATTGTTATGTCCTAGTGGACGAAATATCTCTTGTTTAACCGTTTGCTTCTTTGGAATGTAGGGATTTTGTGAGAAAAGATAATGGTTTAATGTATCCGGTAAATTGAAAATTTGTTCATGTCGTGATGTGAAGACTTGCAACTTCTTGGCAAAAACAAGTACTACGGATTTTTATTTTGGTCAGTAAAAGTCCATTTTGGCATGGAATATGTTTGTTTGAATTGGTAATGAGCGTTTATTTTTGCCAACATACGATTTGAAGTCAGTTCGTACCGGTCTGTGTATTAATATATAGGTGTTCATTATTCCTCTATTAGTGCAATTTTAGGTTTAAGAGGGGAAAGCATAGAGATGTGATCGTTCTCCCATTCTCCAAAATCGAACCTGCCATTTCTCATCATTGTTTTCAATCACTGGATATGCAGTCCACTGAAGCGGTGTCAATACAGATTCAGGGATTGAAAATAATCTATGTCCTTACTCAGGTTTTCATTTTCTTAGAGGAGGAACGATTCCATTTATTTACAGAACTTACAAATCGTTTTCCAGTTCTCGCTCAATTTTCGAATGCTTCCGGCATCCAAACTTCATGATTGGATCAAATTTTCAATTGATATACTTGATCGAACCTGTCCAAAGGAGGTAAGTTTCTTTGTTAACAAGGTATGTTAGTATTGTTATTTATGTATGTATGTTGTTATCGTAATAGTAATATTGTTATGTTATTATTTGATATTTGCATCTGTCTGGTAATCCTTTTTCGTGCACTAGCTTTACCTCAAGTCCTATCTGTATCTCTTTTAGCTTGATAGCATTGAAGACAAGGAGGAACGTGCCCATACTGTTTGGTGGAAGTGTAAGAAATGGGCAGCAAAATTACTTGATAGACTCTTTCAAAGGTATGGATATCAGTCCGTTCTAGCCTTCCTCATTCTTGAAAGGTCAACATTCATTTAACAACACGTTTGCTAATCATGTTTTCCACGTTTCTCTACTATTATGAGCTATCTCTTTGAAAACCTGAAATATCCGTGTTGACGTCATTTGTAATAGTACGAGATAAAGCACAAAATATCTCGAAGACTGGAGGTCGACTATGTACTGTTCTTCTCAAAATGCTTGATGTTTATGTCCTCATAACTGTTCAACGCGCGTGCGCAGTGGTCGGAGGCCCCTTGCAACACATACGTGGAAACGATCGCAGCGCCCATGGCCCACCAAGCCTTCCAACCCTCCGGCGTCGGCAAATTGGTACCAGATTTGTCTGGGAGGATAGCACCACTGGCTCGTTACATCGGTAGGTCACTGCGACTCATTGTAAAGGCCAGATATGCATACAATCATCTTTAGCAATGCTTAATGCGATCGAATGCATGGCACATCTCTCGAGGAAAGATCAACGCCAGGAGCTTTATCCGTTATCGTTTCAATTGTTCATTGATTCGTATGTAATTGTATGATATTTGGAAAACTCCGGACCGCAGGTGTATGCGGTAGGGAACGAACACGTGCTGTTGTCCTTACCGGGAGCAGCTCACTTCACCACTACACCATCCGGGTCCTTCGTTTTGCCTGTCTCTCAGCTAGTTCTATCAATCTTTTTTGCCATCAGCATTCACCCGTCAACGGGATTGATCAGGGGAGCCCAAATCGGCATTGAACCCAGTTAAGCTGAGGCTTAGTTATAATCACAATCTTAAGCCTTTTATTTACTGCCTTTCTCTTGCCTCAGCTTAACTGGCTTCAATGCCGATTTGGGCTCCCCTGATCAATCCCGTTGACGGGTGAATGCTGATGGCAAAAAAGATTGATAGAACTAGCTGAGAGACAGGCAAAACGAAGGACCCGGATGGTGTGGTGGTGAAGTGCGCTGCTCCCCGGTAAGCACAACAGCGCGTGTTCGTTCCCCACCGCATACATATGCGATCCGAAGTTTTGCAAATATCTCAGCATTACATACGAGTTATATTTCGCAACATACTCTGCCATTAAAAAGGCAGTAAATAAAAGGGTTAAGATTGTTCATTGATTGTGTACTCGTAATTATAGCGAGGGTTGCACTGTTGACGGACAATTTACTTATTTGAGAGTGTTATTCTCTTCAGCGTAATTAAGTCACAAAAGTAATGCTTTCCTCGTGAGCGTTGTGCGCATTGTATCAGTCGCTCACTTTTAGTTACGTTCGATTATTCCTTTTGAAGTCAACTCTTACTAGCAAACGGTGCTTTTGCTCTAATTCTTCTGTTAGGTATACGCTGTGGAGCAAAATAGGAATGATTTCACGATTTGGGCTTTGTTATGTTGGTCAATTGACAAAGATATTTTTTTTTCGCTCGTGTTTGATACCATTCATATTGGTTTGGTCTCTGATAGGTCTTCGGTTCTGGTCAGTCCTGTAGAATTGCAGTACTATTCTAACCTTTATTCTAGACACTTGCATGAATATTTACTTTTTAAAAAAATGCGCTATTTTCTAGATATGGTTCTCCAAACTATGTCGAGGAGCATTATGTTTCCTTTGCAAGACAATTCTTAACAAAATGGGTTCCTCTTGCTCTTCAATCCTCACTGGCGATTTTGAATGCCCGTCGAAACAATGTATACGTGTCAGATAGAGTAAGTTGTTTACATATGCGGTTTCATCCAACGTGGAATAATAGCACTGTACTGTTTTCGCTTGTTCTGTGTTTCTTTTCTCAGGTTCTACATCATATGCTTTCGTTTACAAATAATGCCATAGCTCATTCTGTTTGCTGGCAGATCGTAAAGCCACACGCCCTTGTATGTTTATTTGTTAAGACAAGGTTTTGATTCTTTTTGACAACGAAGAAATGGAGTTCTATGCTTCCAACATGGAATGTGCGAACAAGACGCATTTTAGGACCTCATCAAACATGTGTTGTTCCCGTTGTTGTGCTATGACGATGACGATGAAGAGATGTGGAGAGAAAATGTGGAGGAATACATTCGCTTCAAGTTCGGTGAGCAATAAATCTATTACCCATTACATATATGTACATATATGCATGTGTACATATACACGTATGAACATACATGCATATATATATTATATATATATATATATGTATATATATACTTTGATGGTCTCTCCTCACTGGTTGTGTGGAGAACATGCATGCATATATATATATTATATATATATATATATATACTTTGATGTTCTCTCCTCACTGGTTGTGTGGATCCCAGCATAATCTCCATTTTTTCGGCGATTTACCGATTTAGCCAATGTGGTTCCCTGGAATCTCGAGGTCGGCCTGGCGAAAGTCTGCCCCAGGTCGTCACCACTATAGGCAGTCGCAGCCCTTGTGGATCAGAGTGAGATTTGCCATCGCGCTACTAATTTGTTATCAGGGCGCTGATAGATCCTGCCTGGTATTGGTTTCCTCTTAGCTATACTTTCTGATGGAAACTGGAAAGGACGGACTCCTCAACTTGGAAGACCCTGCTGTACATCGCAACCCGACACCTAAGAACAACTCCCAGCCACGACGAGGTGGTAAACCGTTGGGAGGATACATGTGTATACGTATATATATATATATATATATATATATATATATATATATATATATAAAAGCATATACACACATGTATATAATGCTGCGCTGTTGTTAGAACTACTTTGCAATTCAAATACGGTGTTTGATTCGATTCCGCGCCTCTCATCCATCTGGGATCTACAAATTGGTAGCTCACTTACATAGTTGAAAACACTGACTTAGTTTCTCACTAGGTGTTACAAGTTTGGGGATTCCGTTGAGAAATAGGTTAAGGTGCCCTATGATACATTTTTTCGTTAGCATATTGTCTCATATTAGTCTAGTCAGTCACCCATCCTTCACGAGAAGGAATTGGTATACGAGAGAGGAAGGACGAGGGTAGAAGCATTGGTATTGATTATCTCGCGCGGTTCACCGTATAGGCCAAATATGCAGTCGTTACTTCCACGAAGTTTTTTTCCCCACGATATGTCTACGGTTTTTCCAACCTCACAAGTTCTCCGGGTGTCGGAAATTTATCATTTATTGTCGAAGAAACCAACATTACTTTGTTTAAATCGCGAACTACTTTTATTCTTTCTCAGCTTCCACTAAGTGAAAGGTGTTTCATGTGTTAACACATAATACCCTAGTGGTTTTTAGCGTCTCAGCCGTATGGAACGACGCATAATTTTCGGTCATCGCGGTCTTTTGGTTTTCCAAAAGTAGGCGTTATTTCTTCGATAGGTAGACTTCAGGAGCTATGAACATAACGGCATCATAAAAGATATTTTGTTCTATCATTCTATGAGCATAATGTATATATATTGTACTGTTTACTTTATGTAACTATGATCCACCATACAAACGCGATGTTATCAGCATATGGAAACGATCCGCTCCTTACACTGTGCCTATCTCGGCATTTGTCATACGCACGTACTTACTACGATAACTGTGCCTCATTTTTTGTATTTCTCTGGGAGTAAAATAGAACGTTCCTCGACCGATGCCACACACAGCATCTGTGTCGGATAAGTTACTACTCGATTTCAAGAAGCATAGGAAAAGTGTTCTTGCGACAAAACAAGCCGTCAGAAAGAGAGGAACTCTAGGGTGGCTCACATCAACCATTTTGACGCCGCGTGTAATTTTATTGAATGCACACCATCCGTTATATGTTAAAATGCAAAATTCTTTCTTAATATTTCCTCAATCTTTTTTTGTTTTAGTTAGTTTATATCTAATTTGGGCTGTTGGAATAAAAAGAAGGCAGAAAATAAATCCGAGCATTTTTTTTCGCACGAATTTAAACTATTAGGTATAGCGGCAGAGAACGCTGGTTGTGTCAACTTTATATTTGATCAGGGAACCGTTAACGATCGTGCGACACATTATTCTTTTCAAAATTTTAGTGGTGATGATGAAACTCTTGAAAATCAAGAGCATGTGCTACCACCATCGTTTGACACCATAAACGTTTGAAAGAGATTATTGACGCCTTGAGATCTTGCCGGAGAATTAAGCGTCGGTATTTGAAGAGTTCTTACTTTCAGAATTAACGAAACTGAGAACTAAAAAAGCTATACAAATTGGTACTTAATGCATCTAGAAACAGATGCCATGTTGAAATGATCGGTCTTTTTCACTAGGTTAGACAAAGATTGATGCACCAAAACTGTTATCCAAGTCTTGAACTTCCAAATGTGCAAGCGGCAAAAAAACAATGCTGACTGGTTTGTGGTCGGCGAATGTACTCATCGAGAATATACAGTTCTTTAAATATCTTTTGAAAACGGTTGTAGCACAGCAGCATAGAAACGAACGTTGTTTTTTTTTTGTTTTACAACCAGACATCAATTGTAAAAGGTGGTAGCGTTACACTACTTTCAGATATTTTCGAGGATCTACATAACCCTGCGTATGGTGCTGGAGCTCTTTTAATTGGGTTGGCTAAGAGAAAAGATGTTGTTCAATCCGTTATTCTCTTCGCAGTTCAAGTAATATTTTTTATTTTTTATTTCAAGCGTTTATAAAATGGTTTTGATAACAGGTATTGTCACGCACTGAGAATTCACGCGAAGTAGAAGGGGCTCTTCGAATGCTTGGAGAACTTTATGTTCAGTTAACAAAGAACAAGGTGAGTGATTTGTTCCGTGTTATAATAAACAGCTAAGAATTGTTTGATAGAGAGTCCTATCAGGTATCATAGCTTCTAAACTCTACAACCTCCCGTTTTACCGCCTCATCTTGGCTAGGTGTTCTTGGGAGTCGGGTAGTGATGTACTGTGGGAGGTTCATCACGCCAGCAAGGCTTCCCAAGCTGTGAAGAAGTCCGACGTTTCCTTCGGGAAGCATAGCTGGAAGTAAACCAAGCACCCAGGATCCACCACTGTCCTGGTATCAAAGTCGCATGGTGGCATGTCTTCCTTTGATCCACAATGGTGGCGACTGCGTGGGGCGGTGATAACCTGGGAAAGGCATCCGCTAGGCTGACGTCGAGGCTCTAGGGAACGATAAAGGCTAATCCAGTAAATCTCTGGAGAATGGAAATTATGCTAGGGCTCGCATAGGCAGTGAAGAAGGGCCATCCAAGTAACAAAGGAAGTGGGAAAACTACAGATTTCTCCAGAAACTTTTATTTAGAGTTCTTTTGTGACACTGTGTTTCCTGTTTTAAAACTATAAGAGATATGAGCGACAAGAAATTCAGTTATTCGAAAGTAAGGGTAATAAGGACTCAGATGCGTGTGCGTGCAATGTAGGTACATACATCACCTTAGTGCTTTGCGATAGAGGCAGCTTAGAATGGCTCTGAGATTTTAGCAGCCTTTCCGTACTCGTCCTATCCAGCGCTACCGCATCGGTGACCGCTTTGGAGTAAGAGGAATAATGTCCTCTTATTTCACTGCTTATCGTTTGATACCCTCCTACACCTTACTGAGATCTGAACGTGAGGGCTGTGTATACTCACGGGCAGCTTGCAATGCTTTACCAGAGTAGACGGGAGAGCTTAGTTGCTGAGAGCGGCTCCTAAGCGATTCTCAGATTCTTGCTCTTCACTTGCTTACAATCTTTTCACCGAATTGACAGGTAGAATGCAATCCGCACAAACGAGCAGAAAGTATATAATACGGTGGGCGCAGCGGGAAAAGGGAGTCCGTATCCCGGCTTGAGATCATCCCTCTTCGTACGAGGTCCGTGGACCCAAGTAAATATATATATATATATATGTGCATATATGTATATATGTGCTTATGTATGTACATATAAGCATATATATATATACATGTAAGGGATAAAATATAATATATATAGTAGGAAAGGGTAGCGCAGTGGTTAGTGATGCCGTCGATCAGTAAGAAGAGGCTCTAGTTAGACTCCCACTCCAACCTTCTGCAATCCAAAATGCTAACGCTCTAGTCCTGTCTCAAAGATCGCAAGATCTTGTAATAGTTTCCAGGATCGACTTTCTATTAACCTCGGCATTGGATTACAAATACGTTTTCTTTCTCAGCAGTCAAGAAGTTTTTAAACAGCATACGTTTACTTCCAAACAATAGCACATATACAACACAATCGTAGCTGACGTCTCGACAGAATCGTCTACTTCAGAGCCGAGTCGTCAACCATATGCGACTCTGAGCGGCTGTTCTTCCTCGGTGGAAGACAGGTGAAAAAAAGCGGCTGTGAAGAAGGCTGTTCTGCTGAAACGTCACCTATGGTTGCATTGTATTTCTGTTATTGTTTGGAAGTAAACGTATGCTGTTTAACAACCTCGCGTTTGCTGAGAAAGAAAACGACGAATCACATGGAGAGTCATCCCTACCAAGATTCTGCAATATTCATAGTGAAGAAGTCTTCAAACAGTAACCGAAATAACACGCGAAATATTCGAAGACCGTTGTAAAGGATGAATTTGAGGAAAACGAATCGAGTGCAAGAAGTACTGGGATGTCTGCGGTAGACGTGATGACGGATCATACAGTATTAATGTAAATATGCTCATTAACACATCAAGTAGGTAATATATAGTAATGTATACATTAAGATATTTTAACATCGACGTCAAAGGAGGTGTTAGGCAAGGTGACACCATCTCGCCAAAATTATTTGCCGTCACTCTCGAGAATGTCATGCGAACATTGGAGTGGGACAGTATGAAAGTGAAAGTCGATGGCTGGCAATTACACCATCTTCGCTTTAATTATGACACCGTCTTTATAATACGAAACATTAGCCAAGTGTAACGAATGCTTGCCAACTTTGATAAAGCCTGCGGAAAAATTGACCTTCAACTAAATCTCACAAAAGCGATGTTCATGGAGAACGGAGAATTAATATCTCCGAATACTACAGTTATGTCTGTCTAGGTCGGGAAATCGACATTATCAACGACTTAGTTCCGAAGTGGAGCAGAAGAAAACGAGTGGCTTGAGGAGCTTTCAAGAGCATCGAAAATGTGGTGAAGAGAACAAAGAACACCTAACTCCGTGTCCACCTTTTCGACTCCACAATACTTCCTACCCTAACGTATGCATCGAAAACCTGCCCGCTGCGTAAGCATGATGAACGATCACTTAGCGTTACTCAACGAGCAGTTTAGAAGACGTTGCTAGGATTATCCCATGTCATACAAGTAAAGGGATCCGACTCTCCGATCTGGGTCAGCGATCAGAAATCAAAAATGCTGTTCTTTGTGTGAAACTGTCGAAGATAGGGTGAGTGAAGAACGTAATGCGTTTGAACGATAACCGATATATAATAGCCGTTAGTGGCTGGGTTCCTCGGGATGTCACACGTACTGCAAGAAGATCACTGATGCGATGGTCAGAGTTCTTTTCGAAAAACCTTGAAGAAAGTATAATGCTCAAGGTGTGCCTAGACAGTGCAGAACCACTGGGCTACTCTTATACGCGACAGGGAAAGGTGAAAGATTTACTGGCGCCCGCTCGAGTCACTCGATGATCAGCGCGACTATAGGTGGTACAGGTGATATACAGTAACAAGGGAGACACACAGCTGTAGTGATTCTGATCATCACGAGAACGTTCCTGGTTCGGTTATGCCCACCCTCACGAAAGCAGTCTTCCGCTTTGGTAGCAGACTTGTCTGCGAAAAAATCACTGCAAACAAAATGGAAGCGCTCCATCCAGGCTATCCCAGCATTCCAGGGAGAATCGATTCGTGCAGCATTCTACGACTTTCAAGATGAAATAAAAACCCTTAAGCATTGGCCAATGCCACACGCAGTAGTTAAAGACATTCGTGAATGGTAGACGTGAGTAAACGAATCGAATGTCAGAAATGCTATGTTCTGCACAGTAGACGTGAAGAAGAATCGTATAAAAGAAATAAAGGATTATATGTATACAGTGCCATTGAATGATAAATAACGATTTCATCATTGATTTTTTTCCCTTTAGTTTCACTTCTTTCCAAAAAATTTCTTTTTGCTTCCTTTATTATCCATATGCTCCGAATTTTTTTAAATGTGTTGGAAAGGATTTAGAAATATAAACACAACGTTGAACAAATGCTGAAAACCCTCGTAATCGATCGTTTGCGAGACCCGTCCAAATTTGTACGAGCTCGAGCAGCATGGTGCATCAAACAGTATTCCGAGGCACGGTTCTTTTATACGGAAACTCTTTCTAAGGTAATCTTTTGTCTATTTACTTTTTCCTATGTCTTATGATGAGGCGAATATATATTTAAAGTTGTCTTTCTCCCTGTATGCTTTGCTACAAATTGAAGTTTTGCAGATTATTGAAAGCCTAGTTCAATGCCTTTGTGATCCGAATGAAGAATTACCGGTGCAAGTTGAATCTGCTTTAGCAATTCAGTGTCTTCTTAAACATCAAGACAAAGGTTTGCTTGTACTTACGTCTGGCTTTTGTCTCTTCCCAATCCATTCTTATGCCTTACAGTTCATGCCCTTGTACATCCATCAATGGGCGTTATTATTCTGAAGGTGTTGGAATTGCTAACAAAAACAAAAATTGAGGATGTGATTTATGTAGTTGATGAATTTCTTGAGCAATATATCGAAGACGTTGTTCCTGTTGCCTCGGAGGTGGCTGAGCACTTGGTGAGCTTTCTTTATCTTCTGTTAACTAGTGGAATAGGTGTGAAGTCATACTTTTATTTTTCTTCCTAGTGTCATTTATTCTTGGAGATACTGGGATCTTCGGATGTTGATGACCGTGCACCCACTTTGTTAAGTATAATCCACACCCTCCATAACATTTTGGATGTATGTTGCATAGTTTTTTCTTTGCTTTTATATTTGTTTAGGACTGCATTATAAAAGAAGCAATAGTAATTTTGTAGGTTGTAGAAGGTCATATGGAGATTATGGTGAAAGTTGAAGGAAGTGTTTTAAAGGTCATTAATGCAATACTTGAAGTGAAAAATTTTGGTAAGTGTTTGTAATACATCATTGATTTTGAGGGTCTCTGTATATATTTCTTGCCTTAGGCTTTAAGACTAAGCCTTTAAAAAGGTGAAGTGGGATTGTGTTGAACACATTTCCGAACTTAATGGTGCATTATTTTTGAAACACCTTCAGAGTTCTACGATAATGTGGTGCTTCTTCTTCAATCAATTTTGCAATCATACGTAAGTGAGCCTATGTGGGACGTTTTTGACAAGATGTACAATGTATTCAAAACATCCGAGAGCCTCACCGTACTTCCTTTTTCTGGTGAGTCTTCCACTGCATTGTAATGTTAAGGAGTTGATGAACAGCCGTAGTTTTAACTGTGGCAGCAATGCGATCGTCATAGAATGGAGAGCTGATTTTATACGTTGATACTGACATCTAATTTTGTATGGCGGATCATGGGCTGACACCATTTTAATGTCATTACCGGCTTGCTCGTTGTTTGACAATAAACGACAGTTTTTCGATAGCTTAAATAATTGAAATTGTGAGAAAGTGAAATAATCATGGAACTTAGACTTTGCTCAATTGATTTGGGATGCGCATGATATGTATGCTGCTATATTATATATGTTACTATGTTCCATCATTTAAAGACAGCTGTTAGTGTTCGGAAGTGTTTTGTAGCTTGAAATTTATGTATTTCGCATATCCGCCCTTTTCATACGATGACCATGATTCATCGTAGCGATTTCAATTTAAGTAACTGTCAGTGCCAGAGGAATTACCTAGTCAATGAACTCATTCGAAAAGAGGTTTTCTTTTTGTACATTTCCAAGTACAGATTATAGCGTTTCCCGCCTACTGGCACAACTTCTTTGTTGGATAGACTATTAGTGATTGCAAAAAGTGCAGGGAAAATTTTTATACGGAGAAATAAAAGACCAGTGGGAAAATGGGTTGTTCGTGACCACTCTGGGTCAGTTTGTCCAGGAATGAGTTATATATGATACATCTCGTTGCTAGTGTTTCGAACACTTCACTTGACGTAAAAATTTGTTTCAGAACTCGGTCAAGTTTTGCATTTGTATATTGTAACGGATACTGAGAGCTTTCTTGCTTTCCCCCATAGACTTGCTGCTGTATTGGACATGTGCATTACAACTATAAAGGTTTTTTTTAATCATTCCTAGTACTATTGTATGGATAGTAAAAGGAGCTATTTTAATTTTTGGTTCTTTTTCATGTTATGCTTTATCCTTGTCTTAACTTCTATAATTGTCAAGTTGCGAGATTGGGTTTCTTTGCTGATGTTGAAGGTTGGTGTTAGGGTCTTATTCGCAATGTGGTTTAAACGCTTATAGGATGACTCCACCGGAGATGAAAATCATTTATATGCCACAAAAATAATGGAATGTATTCTTCTCGATTGCTCTAGCCATACTACAGAGGTGGTTTACTCATTTAATAGTAACAATTTATTCCACATTTCGTATTGCTTGCTCATGGTTTAGGTTATACCCACAATCCTGATGACAGTGTTCGAACGGCTTACCAAGCCTTTTGAAGAGGGCCTTAGTGAACTAAAGCCGCTTTTGCTTCTTGTACGCCTTTTGTTCTTTTTTTTTTTTCATAATGAGCTGAGCCAAGTTTTTCACCTAGAGTAACCATATTTACATCGTACACATATCATATATAGATGTTTTGATAGTTATTTACCGATAATGGTGAAAATTTTTAGGTAGTGATTGCTGCTTTATACGTCAACCTTGACGTAACCTTACAAGCTTTTCATCAAATTGCTCCAAATCACCCTAATCTTCTAGAATATATTTGTGACGAATTCCTGACTTGTTACAAAAAAATGGAAGGAATCCATAACAGGTACGTCCCTGTCTTGTGTTCAGAATATGTCATATCTAGGATACCTTCTTAGAAGAATGGCGCTTATTGGAATATGCCTCTACTTTCAACTGCCACCGCCTGTACGACCATCTCTCATTTCTACGGATCCTAAAAAGGTAACCTACACGTTTTTTTTTATGCCTGTATTTTGTTATCTATGGACGGTTATATGCGATCGCGGACCGAATTAGAGCAAAACTGACAGTCTTCGCTCGAAAGTTAGAAAAAGCGTCATGCTTAGTTCTTAAAACGTTTTAGCTAAATTGGGTTACCAACTTGGCGAGCTGCCATTTTATTGTTTACAGCTGTTGGAAATCAGTACTTCTAAGCATTCATCTCTTTCTTTCATTTATTTTAGCTTCTTTTTCCCATTTAGAGAGTAGGTTATTCGATTAGACGAACTGACCTCATGACATCAGTGGTGGTGGTGTTATAGGATTTCGAATGCTCATTCTGTTTACGCTTCAGTCTAGATGACTTTATCCATGTTGATGGTGTAAGAACAGTCTTCTACTTTTGCTTTTGTACAGGCTTTTACTCACGTTGTACTTGTAATTGGTGTGAGTGTTGCCAATGCAGAATTAATAGATAAATTCGTCGTTCTAGTGGAGCTACCAGTAATGTTATCGTTCTCAGCCCTTGCGAGGTACAAAGTGGAATTCCTCAGATATCTTTCAGTGATATACATCCGCTGTTTTGTTTCCATTTTCTTCCTGTTGGAGTTGGTCAGACATTTGTGGAAGAAACTATCGAAGCCCTGAGTGATCCACCGCTTTTCGATTAGGAACACAGTTCATTTATCTCAATCCTTTTGTTTACTGCCTGTTCTTTTTTAAGAGCAGGGTATTTTGCAAATGGCAAGTGATCGATAGAACTAGCTGAGAGACAGGCGAAACGAAGGGCCCGCATGGTGTGGTGGTGAACGCGTTACTTCCCGGAGAGGACAACAAGAACGTGTTCCTTCCCCTGCGCAGACACCTGCGGTCCGGAGTTTTGATAATATCTCAGCATCACAACAGTTCATGTATTTAGTGCTTCGAACATATCGGTGTTCGAGGCGTAGTGGTGTTAATGGAGATTAAAACTGCTTTCCATTATCAGAAGGAGCACTTAACAAACATAAAGGCAACTTCTCTCTGTCACTTCGAATGTGCGGACAGTTTTCTGAAACGTTAGTTTTAATCATATAAGCGATTTAAATTTTCAGGAAATTGGTGTTCGAATTTTTGAAATTTTTGACGTGTTCGCGATAGCTGCTGTTATGAACGGTCCATTAGGGACGTCCGGCTGACGAAATCCTGCTTGTCAGATATACTTCCATTTTTGGATAGGTCTTTATCGGAGTGCGCTGCCTATATATTCCTTCTCTAATCGCGTGAGATATTCAACGATACACGCGTTTTTATTGAGCCCGTTGCTCACAGTTTCTGTTAATGAGGTCAAGAAAGTCTGAAATGTTAGGTTGTAGCGTATGAAATGTTCGATTTTAAATGTAAAATTTAAATAGCCATGACTTTTTTCTTGCTAAATTTTATTAATCGAAGCAAGCACCATTAGAATCAACACATTCTTCACTACACGAAACAAGTTTATTTATCATATTTGCCTAGAGTTCTGAAGTTCTGGAAGCGTTGAATTCGTTGAAGGGACTTTTTGCGTCATCGTGGTCGGTGAAGCATTTTTCGCTCAGGAAGTTATCAAGGTGCTTGAATAAGTGATGGTCGGTAGGCGAAAGGTGCGGTGAATATGGCAGATGAGGCAAAGTTTCGTAGCCCAACTCGTTCAACTTCTGCAGCGCTGGTTCCCACATCGTGAGGTTGCGCGTTGTCATGGTGTAGGATTGATCCTTTTCTGTTGACTAATGTCTGTCGTTGTTGTTGGAGTTCGCGGTGCATTTCGTCGATTTGCTGGCAATACTTCTTTTCTATGATCGTTTCGCCCGAACTTGAAAAGCTTTGATGAATCAGTCCGGCTCTAGACCACCAAACAGTCACCATAACATTTTTTTTTGTGTAATTCGGCTTTTGGGAAATACTGTGCAGCGTAATCACAATGCAACGATTGTGCTGAACGTTGCCAGTTGTCGTACAGAATCCACTTCTTGTCGGACGTCAAAATTCGAACAAGGATCATTTTGGTTGCGCAGAATGAGAGCAGAAAACCCTTCAAATTGGAGATTTTTTTCGACTATCTTCTAATTCGTGCGGCACCCACTTGTCGAATGTTTTTGTGTTTCCTTTGCAATTCAAGTGAGCGGAAATTGTTTCTCTGCTTACGCCAAGCTGTTCTGCAAGCTCTCGAACGGCTGTTCGCATGTTTGCTTCCACTGGCGCCTTCCATTTGTCGTCGTCAAGATCATTGGGACCTCCACGGGCTTTCTTAACTTTGAGGTCGAAATCACCAGATCGGAATTTCCGAAACCATGTTCGCGCTGTTGATTCACCAACATTGCCTTCACCCCAAACTTGATGATATTCCGAGCTCCACCCGCGGCATTATGTACACTTCCGCTCGTACAAAAAAAAAGACACAAATATTGCGTTGATTCGTACTGATGTTGAAGGCTGTAGAAACGATGAAATAATGAATTATGAAAAAACATGTTAAATATAAAAGGACTAGACTTTATGCTTCAAAAATATGTATTGGACTTACATTAAATACAAAATTTTTACTTAAGGAAATTACACGGAAAGTTAAAACATTAAAATTGGACATTTGATATGTACCAACCTAATAGTACGCTTGAAATCGTGATATTTCAACATTTATTTACTGCTCGTTCTTTTTTCATGGCAAAGTAAAATGTGAATCACAACCATAAGCAGGCTCGGAATACTCGGAATCTCGAAACACACCCCACAGGTTCCGAGTTTTGTTCGTATCTTATCATCCTTATAGTAAAACGAGTTGTATCTATCATAGGTTGAAAGACTTTGATAGCAGTAGGATGGCGTGGAGCAAGAGTGTTGAGATTTTAATAATTTAACTATTCCTCCTATCTGAAGGCAAAAGCTGGTGAGTCATTTCATGAGTTATTTCCGCGACAGTTCTCAGTTCCTACAGCTGGCACTTCTGTTGACGGTTTCTTTCAATTATGTTCTAATTATATGTTAAAAGTAATTCTTAGAGGTGTCTTGGTTTTGTGCATTTGGGCAGAAGGCAGAATTTTCCATCATCGTCGGAATGAAAATCGAAAGAGTTGAAGGGGTTGTGAGGTACAACACTTGACCATTCTCGTCTGACCCTTTCATCAACAACTTTGTCCTCATTGTCCGATCAACTTCGCCCTCTTTATTGGACCGCACTCAAGATTCCTTGTCCATATCCTCCCCAGTGTCCTCATCGTATTTCCATTCATCTTCTATCAGGATTCGATCTTTTGTAGAGTTGAGCTTCTACTCGGCAGATATGATTCAGGGCATGTCCAATTCACTGGCTATTAGTTAGCTGATGGTTCTTTCCTTTGAAATCGTTTTGATGAATCATCTTACAGACTGTATCCTTGTTGAAAATATGGGAAAGTTGTGAGATATACTCCTATGCTGTGTTATGAAACGAATTGCTTGAGACTGACAGAATTGTGATTGGTGTTGGACGAGTTTTATTTTTCATCGTGAACAAGAATTGGAAATATTTGGAAGTCATGGGAGAAAAGTGAGGAACATAGGAACTGTAGGCAAAATACATGGAAAGGCCAAATTATAGAGTGAAAAAATAGAAGAAAAGAGGTGGGAAAAGACATGATTCACAGCGTGCGCGGAAAAAATTGGACTTAGTCCGACGCAACCTCGAGAAAAACAAAGGTGTTCGCGAGTATGTCAAAGTTGTGCAAGGATGTGTCACTATCCCTTCCCCGGTGGAAGTGAAATATCTTGAGAATCGAGTTTTTAACGGCTATAAACCTTGCATTATCACGAATGTCACGTGAAAGGCTTAGTCACAATGGTTTATGTTTTTATTCAGAATCCATTTCTTGATATTTTCCACTTCTTTCATACAGGTTCTTGAAGTCTCGTTGTCAATTTTTGAGAACCTTCTACGAGCACAGAAATTAGTGGCTCAGAATAAGAACGAAGAATCTGATACTGATGGTAAACTATCCAATTACTGTTGTGTCTAGTTACGTGTTATACCAATTTCTTCTCCAGATTCTGATGAAGAAAGTGATGACGAAGCCGACGGAAATCTACCCAAAAAAGGCCAGTGTTACCGCAAAGTTCATGAACCAGAACATCTTTCTGACGACGAAGACGAGATAGATGAGGTTTGTTAATCAAGCTCTTGAATACGATTGAGCAAAATCTTTTTATGTGAATTTTCTTTTCTTCTTGGAGCGATATTGACTTTAAGCAAGCGGAGATGGATGCGTATGTTTATGTGTATGTACATATATACTTATATACACATATACATATATGTATGCATATCTGCACATGCATGTGTATATGTCCACATATATGTGTACGTTCATAAATATATATATATATATATATATATATATATATATAGGTACATACATATATATGCATACATATATATATATATGTATATATATATATATATATATATATGAATATAATCACCTGTAGTCCAGTTGATCATCGAGTGATTCGAGCGGACGTCAGTAAATCTTCCATTTTTCCCTGTCGCGTGCAAGAGTAGCCCAGTGGGTTCTGGTCGCTCTAGAGACTCGTCGAACTATCTTCCTGTCTATCTTCTATCTATCTTTCTTCTAGGCTCTTCGTGAAGAACTCTAACCATCGAGCCAGTGGTCTTTCTGCAGTGCTTCAATATCCCGCGGAATCCAGTCACTAACGGTTCTTGTCCATCGGTTGTCATTCATACGCATTACGTGTCCGGCCCACCTTATCTTCGAGTGTTTGGCGTACAGAACGGCATCTTTGGTTTTTGATCGCTGACGCAGATCGGAGCTTCGGATCCCATCCCTTACTTGTGTGGAACGGGATACTCCTACCATCGTTCTTTCGACAGCGCGTTCGATAACACTGAGTGATCTTTCATCCTGCTTACGCAGCGACTAGGTTTCTGACGCATGGGTTAGGGCAGGAAGTACCACTGAGTCGAAAAGGTGGGCACAGAGTCGGGAGTTCTTTGTCCTGTTCACTACATCCTCGATGCTCTTGAAAGCTCCCCAGGCCGCTCGTTTCTTTCTGCTCAGCTTTGGAACTAAGTCGTTCATCATATTGATTTCTCGACCTAGATAGGTATAACTGGAGCATTGGGAGATATTCGTTCCGTTGAGCGTGAATGGGCAATACGAAACCAATCCGTTCCTTTTGAACATCGTTTTTGTGGGATTTAGTCGAAGACCAATCTTTCCACAGGCTGTATCAAAGTCGGCAGGCATACGTTCCGCTTGGCTAATGTTTGGTGTTATAAGGACATTGTCATCAGCAAAGCGATGATGGTGTAACTGCCAACCATAGTCTTTCACTCCCACATGATCCCACTCCAATGTTCGAATGACGTTCTGGAGAGTGGGGGTAAATAATTTTGTCGAGATGGTATCACCTTGCCTAACTCTTGACGTCAATGTTAATATCGTTGTAGAATGGTGATATGTTGGTTGTGAAATTTTTTGTACAGCTCACGAAGAATTTTTATGTACTGAGTAGAGACTCCTTGACTTTCAAGAGCTTCCATGACTGCTTCTATCTCAATTAAATCAAAGGTCTTCTGTAAATCGATGAAAGTGAGATAGAGCGGTCTTTTGTACTCTCGCGATACTTCAATAAGCCTTGTCATCTTGTGTATGTCGTCCATCGTACAAAATCCTTTTCGTAACCCTGCTTGCTCACATGGCTGACCTTCGCCCAGTGTTCTGTCAATCCTGTTTGGGATAACTCAATTGAAGAGTTTGTAGACGACAGACAGCAAGCAGATTGGGTGATAGTTGCCGATGTCGTGTAGGTCACCCTTCTTGAAAAATAACACGGTCTTGCTTTACTTAGAAATCGCGAGAAAGAATGAAAGTGGTGGACGTGGAGCTTTTTTTGTTGGAGACTTCACCTAACGGCCTCCATATAATTGCCTATCACTTGATTGCAGGCTTTTGGCCGAATTGAATTGTGGAATACAATGCGAATAAGCGAGAGCGCACCCACGCACGCATGGATGAATACGCCTTGCAAATACAAGGAGCATGTGTTAAATCGGCGCAGCTGAAACCGGGAGTCCACCCCCTGGATCCACTTGCGTCTCAGGGAAGCAATGGTCGCTTTTATTCCGCGATTAAACCCCTATCCACCACCTGGGATGCTCCACGTTGCCTCACGAGTAACTAGCTCAATATTTCTCGTATGAGGGGGATCCGTGGATATATATATTTGTATGTATATATATACATATACATATATATATATATATGTATATGGTATACGTACATAATGTATAAGGTGGTCTTCTTTTGGCAGCTGTGAAATTGCTACAGCATACAGAACGATAGGATATAGGGTGAAATAGCCAACATTGTTATTGTTGCCTTGCAAAAATATCATTTTGGGACAGAAGAATTGTTTGACGAAGCGCTAAAATCTCGCGAAAATTATTTACGGATATGGCGCGAACAGGGCGAGAGGGTAGTACAGTTTTAAGTGACGCAGTTCACCAGGAAGAGAGGTGCTGGTTCTACTTCCTCTCCATCATTCTCGTCAAGTATGCGAGCGAACGCCAGATCTCAAAGTCTATTAAGCGTGAAATTGTAGGTAAACAATTTCAGTTTTGCATGCGTGGGGTTAACAACTGGATTGTGAATGGAGCTTTGTGCCTGAATTTAGTTTTAGGACTTTCCGTTTGATCCACTGTTTGGTTGAATTTCATCTATGTTGAATGTTTAAGATGACATTGGACTATATGGATGCTATTGTAAAAGAGGATGGTCGGGATGATGGAGACGATGAAGATGGGGACTCGGACAGCGCCATCGAGTCGTCGTTCTTTGAAGTTGGTTGCTTTATTAGCATTATATCTAGTTTCGAGTTGTCATATTTATCTTCGCTTGTGTTCTGCTTATCATTAGGTTTACTTAAAACTTTCGTTTTCGATTGATGAATATACTTATCATGCAACTTATAACTTCGATTTTCTGGAGGAATACTTTTTAGGCTATGGATGATATTTTGTGCTCCTACCGTTTATTTGTTTGTACGTTTTAACTCATGAGCAAGGCGGTGCTATTTTAGTGCTGTGAAAGTGCGTCGTTTAGATTAGCCTAAAAGCGTTGTAAATTAAGTGTTAGAGAAAAACACTTCATTGAGAATGGAAGAATACTAACAAGCATCAGAATATTTGTACAACTGGTGATGATAAAATCCGTAGTTGTTTTTTGCAACAGTCTGGTATATCGGAATTGCCTTAACTATATCTGTCCAACAAGAGGACACTGACCGCTGCGTTTCGCAAACGAGCCCTGGAACGGTCTGCATTCATGCCTGTGTTCAACGTAGTATCGCATTAGACTCATGTTTTTAGAGCGACTAAATCTCCAACTGCACAGGCCTAGAAGTCAGTATACTATGGTCGATTGTACTATGCTCTGACCCATCGCCAAAGTGAAGCAGTGCTTTTTGGAGTGAATTTCTCTTATTGGAAACAACTTTCGCTCGTTTGTGGCACGTTCACTGTTATTATAAACAAATCAAGGGAGCGAATCTTATGGAACAAAAATAAGGACAATACGAAGTTTATAAAAGTTGGACTAAATGAGTTGACTATCGTTGTATAGATAAATTAAGATCTGCGACGCAATAGTTTTCTGACAACTCTACTCTGTAAATCAGTGACTCGAAAATCCATTTTTCCCTGAGATGATCAATTCACCATCATTACGGGCCGTATTGTCCTCACTTTGCAGATGGTTTACCATTATTTCCATTGCGTGCTGATGTTGTGAATAGCTTATTAAACTTTTTTGCTCGTGAAATTTCAGTGCTTAATGTTATAGAGTTAGGTATGCTTTACATGACCAGACATTGCGTGTTGTGTGGATCCCACTGCTTTCATTCTGTTCGTTTCCTCTCATTCATCGTTAACTGAGGCCTTCGATTATGAATCTGGACTGTGGTGGTTGATGATTTTTCTTTTTTTTTTTTACAATTGCCCTTGGAAGCTGCTTGAGTGTACTTCTTGCGATGCCTTGGGAAGGCTGTGCTAAGATGTTCTCAGGCCTTCACATAGGCAGACGCCAGTCTTTGTGAATCTGAGAAATCTGTAAAAACATAGTTCTGGTAGCACTTTGCCCACCTAAAGATATGAATATTTGGCTATCTCGGAGCGAGGTCGAGGCGAGACCTTTGGTTTTCTGATCGGCATCTGCTTCTACAATACCCGAGTCAAAGGAGTATTGAACAGTACGAGAACAAGCTATGGTAGAACAACTTGACGTGTGATCTAGCTTAGTGCGAATAACAATAGTTGCACTAAATTCATAATTTTACATCATAAGTGGGGTTCTATCTGAGTTAGAACAGCGTTCAATGTGACACACACATTTCCGCGATAGTAAAGCTTTGCGTTCTTGTTTTTTTGTTTTCATGATTACCATAATTGTTCGTCCATGATTCTTTCATACAATATTCGAATGCACCGGTTTTTGCCTACTTGTTTATACTGGTGTTTTATTTCACTAATTTGTGCCTAATTTCCTCTGTTGGAATAAGAGTGGGAAAATTCAAAATTGAGCGTAAGACTGCGTAGACCGTTAATTATTTGCGGCACAATTCAAGAGTTTTGAAGACCAACCTTAAAAGTGAGGGGTTTTGGGATGAGCCGATGCCATCGACGATAACCATCTAAATAAGCTATTTCGAGCAAAACTATGCACCACAACTAGCTGGGTTACGGTATAACTACGTCTGGGCAGAAAAGCTTTGCATTGCATTGCTCTATCTGTTTTAATTACCAATCCTATAAATGTCAGACTACCACGTCTGTAAGCATGTAGATAACTTGCATGTTGAATGGACAGCCTAAAGAGGCGGTCAAAAATACTTTCGGCAACGTCAAATTCAGCGGTCTTAGTCTCTATATAGATGAAATGTTGAAGTTTGTACCATGTTAAATGTGTGGTAGTTGATCACTAATTTGTAAATGTGAACCGATTGCATTTGCAACTTAAGCTTTCAGTTCAAAATTAAATATTTCATATAACACTACCTAGTTTGTAAACTCATCTGAATTGCCATGAAAATTTACCGCAGGAGACTGACAGTGAGGCATTCACGACAAAATTTGATGGAGAAAATGGACTGGATGTTTTCGTGTTCTTCAAGCGAACGATGGAGGGTAAGCCTATATCCATTGAAATCATGCAGCTATTCTTCTATATTTCTGCGACGAGAAGCTTTCCAGAATTTGAACGAAACGAGCCGGAACTCTTTCTTAAAATGGTTGGGAATTTGAACCCTAATATGGCGGAGTCTTTGCAAAACCTTATTAAGGTAGGCGTATACATGTTGCCGTTTATTTCACTTTGTTAGTGAGTACCAGTCATTATGTGTTCCAGGAGTGCGAACAGCATGCAAAATCTGAAGAATCGAGGAAGGTTGAACAGGCCGGTGGATACAGTTTTGATGCTGCGGCAGTTGTACCGGAAAGCTTCGATTTTACACAATGAAATTGTTTCCCTCTCATATTTGTGTACCTACTAAAACCATCGTTCTCTTTGTTTCCTCGTTTTTGAAGTTTTCGACAAAACGATTACTGAGTGATATGTTCATTGGCAGAGATGTACATATCATATTATAAATGATTTTTAGAAAACCCTGAAAGTTCGCTATTCGCATTGACGCGCTGTAGAAACAGACTGAAAGATTAATTCATAGAAATGCACCGTATTTTAAGAATGGTGTGTGTTGCTACAGAAACAAGAAAGGAAGTTTTATTGGTGCAATGTATAACAAGTACAATGAACATATTAACCTATAAACATATTAGAATTACGTCTTCCTAAGCTTGGGGAACAAAGTATATATCTAAAGTAAGAATCTGGTTGCATTGAAGAAGGCAAGAACCCAGAAATCAAGAACTTATGATGTAGGTGTTACACCACTAATGGTGTACACTACCTGTATAAAAGATTTTTTCCGTCACCAATACCCTTTTGAGGTTGTACATGTCGGAACTGAAACTCGTGAATTCTAAAGGGGCTCTCGAAGAAGTTTTGACGTGGGACGCAACCGATCAGAAGCGCCATGAATGACCAATACAAACCTATGTTATGCTGTACATCACCTGTCACCTGTATCACCTGTAGTCCCGTTGATCGTCGAGCGACTCGAGCGGGCGCCAGTAAATCTTCCATTTTTCACTTCCGCGTGCAAGAGTAGCCCAGTGGGTTTTGCTCGCTCTAGGGAATCGTCTAGCACCATATCTTTCTTCAAGGCTCTTTGTGAAGAACTCTGACCATCGTGTCGGTGGTCTTCCTGCAGTACGTTTGACATCCCGAGGAATCCAGTCACTAACGGCTCTTGTCCATCGGTTGTCATTCATACGCTTTACGTGTACGGCCCATCTTCGAGTGTTTGGCGTACAGAACGGCATCTTTGGTTTTTGATCGCTGACGCAGATCGGAGCTTCGGATCCCATCCCTTGTGTGGAACGGGTACTCCTACCATCGTTCTTTCGACTGCGCGTTCGATAACACTGTGTGATCTTTCATCCTGCTTACGCAGCGACCAGGGCATACGTTAGGGCAGGAAGTACCACTGAGTCGATAAGGTGGGCACAGAGTCGGGAGTTCTTTGTCCTGTTCACTACATCCTCGATGCTCTTGAAAGCTCCCCAGGCCGCTCGTTTCTTTCTGCTCAGCTCTGGAGCTAAGTCGTTCATCATATTGATTTCCCGACCTAGTTAGGTAAAACTGGAGCATTGGGAGATATTCGTTCCGTTGAGCGTGAATGGGCAATACGAAACCAATCCGTTCCTTTTGAACATCGTTTTTGTGGGATTTAGTCGAAGACCAATCTTTCCACAGGCTGTATCAAAGTCGGCAGGCATACGTTCCGCTTGGCTAATGTTTGGTGTTATAAGGGCAATGTCATCAGCAAAGCGAAGATGGTGTAACTGCCAACCATCGACTTTCACTCCCACATGATCCCACTCCAATGTTCGAATGACGTTCTGGAGAGTGGGGGTAAATAATTTTATCGAGGTGGTATCACCTTACCTAACTCCTCTTTTGACGCCAATGTTAATATCGTTGTATAATGGTGACGTCTTGGTTGTGATACTTTTGTGCAGCTCAAGAAGAATCTTTAGGTACCGTGTAGGGACCCCTTGACTATCAAGGGCTTCCAAGACTGCTTCTATTTCAACTGAATCAAAGGCCTTCTGTAAATTGATGAAAGTGAGACAGAGCGGTCTTTTGTACTCTCGCGATACTTCAATAAGCCTTGTCATCTTGTGGATGTCGTCCATCGTACAAAATCCTTTTCGAAACCCTACTTGCTCACATGGCTGTCCTTCGCCCAATGTTCTGTCAATTCTGTTCGGGATGACTCAATTGAAGAGTTTGTAGACGACAGACAGCAAGCAGATTGGGCGTTAGTTGCCGATAACTTGTGGGTCACCATTCTTGAACAATAACGCGGTCTTGCTGGTCTTCCATTGAGTAGGGACCTTGCATTCAGACAGGTCATGTGTGTAGAGCCGAGCCAGTGTGTTTCCGAGGGCGGACTGGCGGAAGGTTCTTCAGGTGTTCTGGTTTTATGCTGTCCGGACCTGGTGCTGTTCGGCTTCTCACCGACGAAATGGCATGTCGGGTTTCGCGATGGAGAACCGGTAGTACAACTTATCCGCCCTCCTTTATTTCATATGACGGAAGGTGGACATGGCTATCGAATAGATCCGAGTAGTATTCGTGAATTCGTGATTTTCTCCATGGCATTTCTGGACGCTGTAACTGTTCCGTCTGGGCGCCGGAGAGCAATCAGTTTGGTCTTGTAATTGGCGAAGCTTCCGTGGGCTTTGCGAATGCTTTTGCCAGCCTCTGCAGCTTCGGCCATTACTGCTGCTCTTCTCTCTCTAAGATCTTCTTTTATCGCCTTTCTGCATTGTTTTGCAAGCTCGGACGTTAGTTGGCTGTTGCCTGCAGCTCGTGCGATTCCACGCTGGCGTATCAGCTTGAGTGTTTCTGGAGGCAGACGTCTCTTGGTGACTTTGGAACTCTCAGCTTTCATAGCGCTGACGTGAATATGATGAATGAGCCGATAGTATTCCTTCTCGATGTTGTCGACAACGGCACCTTCCCAACAGCCAAATAATAAATTGAATAAGTCCCGGTTTATGGTGAATCTGGGACTTCGGTTTTTGAATTTAGCGGCTTTTTCTCCTTTCCGCGAGAAATAGGGTCTTGTACGTAGGATGGTGGTCTGATCCCATGTAGAATTTTGGGACAACAGGGAAATCGGTGAGCAAAGCCTATTTACTATGAGGCATCCGTTGTATTATGTATAATAAATAGTAACTGATGCTATGTGATGTAATCGAAAAAAGTTGTTGATAAGGAAACACTCGTCCGACTGCTCAGCACCATGCTTACAGATGACGTGCCTTGTTGAATTTCAGTCTGTAAAAACTGCATGGGACCGATGGAACAATGGTAGTGATGGAGGGCAACACGAGCACGGTCCTGGTTCGATCCGGCTTCTAGAATCAAGCCTTTCATCCTTTCAGGGTTGGGAAGTTAGTGCCGGGATTGTCCTAGAAAAATCAGTCTTTGCAGACCAATTTGGACCGCCCTGGCTGTGCTATCTCATGACTCCAGCGAGAATCGATTAAACCAGGCATTCTTTGACATTTAAGATGAAGTAAAAATTCCCAAACACCAGCCAAAGAAGCCATACGTAGAATTTGGAAGACCGTCGTGGATAGCTGATGCGAGGAAACGAATCGAACTTGGGAAGTCTGGTATCCGCGCAGCAGATGTGAGGACTGGTCGTGTAAAAAATAAATGTGAAAAACTGCGCATAGTTCTAAAATTTTTAGATTCTTTCCGTTTCCAAGAAAAACTTTCTATTAACCTCGTCACTGATCGATTCTTTTGATGAGAACAAGATACAACACCTCGTGTTTGCTCAACAAGAAAACAGTACTGTTTAGACCTATAGCAAGCTGTGCTTGCCCATCAGGAGAACAGTGAATTATTCTTTCCGTTCCTTTCTCCCGTCTACTAATAAACAGTTTAATACTGCATAATAACATTGACAATGTAATATATTTCAGTTCTTGCACCAACTTATGTTCTATTTCGGAATTTATTGGGGCAAGCCTCGTGGTTTTGAGCAATGTTGCAGTTTGCTGGAACCAGGAAATAGATTCTTCATTGTTTTGCCGTACGGATATTGTTCGTAACTGTAAACATCTCACCGAAACCTTCTACATGGACCTGTAATACAAGGGACGGCAACTAAAATATTCAGTTAGGAAATTTGTGGTGGCGTTCACAGAAGTATGGTTTGAATAGTTACTTGTCAGAGTTGCCAGGCCGAACTGACTGCTCGCCTTTGTATGAATCTGCTATGCGGGGCTTTCATGTGCGGTCAGAAAACACAATATCAAGATTGTGTTACATCTGTTTACAACAGAATTAGCAGTACAATGTTAGCGGGGGGCAAATTATGCAATTTTGAGTTGCACATAGACGGTCATATAGGCGGTTACGAACTAGTTGGCGCTTAAGATTACGCGGTGGTATTTCAACTACGCTCACCGAATTCTCTAAGCCCGCCCTTCTTAAGCACCGTTTTATAGCTGTACTTATATCATTTGAGATGAAGGGTAGGATAAACGGGACCCTTCTATCGCTAGAGTTGTCGTTTGGAAGCCTACGATTTCCTCTATACCTATTCTGAGCTACAGTTTCGTAGCCATTAGAAATGGCTATTTGCCGTGCCAAGTTTCGGGACTCCTCTCTCTGTTCTCTTCCCGTGCACGCGTTGGTTGCTGTTCGAAACATGTTTCTTATAAGCGTCCTTTTCGTGTGGGAGGGGTGAGAGGAGAGGTAATGAACCAAGAAGTTTTTACTACTTGGCTTTCGGTACCATTTTGTAATATAGCCATTTTCTGATAGGTGAATTTGTACGTTCAAAAATGGAAGCCATTTTTCTTTCGGCGCTTCTCGGGTGAACTTGATATACTCTGACTGTGCGTTTAACAATTCGAAGCGTTTGTCCAATTCCTCTTGTGTTGAGCAAAGGACAAAGCAGTCGTCTACATACCTACAGTAGAGTAGCGGCCCGAGATCAGTCACCGGTGCTTCCACCTTAGACATAAATGCAATGGCAAGGCTTGGAGCCAGTCGTTGTCCCATTGCCAACCCTCTCATTTGAGCGTAGTACTTTCCAGACCATCTGAAGATTGAGCAGTCCAAGCATTCTTTTAAGAGTGCCATCAGGTGCTCTATCCTGAAGCCATGCATGTTTATTTCTCCTCCGTGTTGTGTAAGGAGTTCGAATATGGCTTGCATTGCGGAGTCATTCGACACGTTTGTAGGAAGGGCGGTAACGTCGAAGGACTCCATCACGCACGCGCTGTTGGGCTGCGCAGTACGTAGACGATCCAGAAACATCTGGGTATTCGTAAGATGGGCTGGAATGTGTTTCAACAACTGGTTAA